ATAATGTTGATGATATCTTCCACTCTATCAATGTTGAGGTTGTCATGAGTGAGGATAATCTTCATGAAAAAGAGGAAAACAACCAAGTGAGTTAACATTCACTTTGTTTTCTATAATTGGATGTTATAATTTAACCTATATTAAATTGTTACTTGTTTTAATTTTTTTCATATTGCATTTCACTTGATTAGGGACTGATGTCAATAATGCCTTCAAATGTTGAGAGGGTTAACAAGCAAGAAGGTTGCCACCCTAATCAATCAACAAATACTAATGAGAAATTGGAGGAAAAGAAGCAGGTACAAATTACACTTCATACAGAAAACCGAATCAGATTATCATTTGTTGACGATGTGATTCATATTCATTGTTGAAGATTTTACAAAAAAAAGTACATCATAGTAATGTACATCAATGCTGTACTGTTAGATATGAATGATATATTTAGTCATATGTTAATTGTTATAGTTCATGGGGCTGAATATGAATGACATACCTTACAAACAATTGTTTCAGTATACTTTTATAATATACATTTACTATTGACTCTTTGTTCTTTGTTTTTTTAGGATGACAAAATGGTTGAACCTCCAAAGGACCAACAAAAAAGGGTAAGAATCAAGAAAATTGTTAATAGGATGAAAGTTGAAAGGCTTAAGAGGTCAAAAAAAACACCTGCTACACTACAAAATTATGGATCAACAAATGAGGGTAAAGCTCAAGAAAAGGACCAAAAAGAGGATAATCAATATGATGGTCCTAGTTATGAGTTACTAACTCAATCAATTGTAGAAAAGTTGAAGGACTAATGAAGTTGATGCACCTTTAGCCTTTTGTATTTCGGTTAATTTTAGTCTTTTGTTTCCTTTAATAGATTTAGAAGTAGATGATCAATATGAATTGTGCTCTTAATCACTTATATACTTCTGTTTATTGTTGATATATATCTACTTGAACTGACTAAAGAAAACATACTTTTAATATCGAGGTGATAAAATATGAATCTTTTATGGTTACTTCTATACTGATCATTTTTTTGTTTCCTCCGTTGGGTGTTTTAAGTTGCATATTGTATAAAAAGCACAATTTTTATGCAAATTATTTGGATCAAGATTTACTTACAAATTAGGAAAATTACTTCTCTTGGATGGTTGTGATATATATAAGGTCACAAGTAAGGCAAATGGATATTGTTTTGAGACTTAAATCTCTTGTCTACATAGTTGGATTGTATAATTCTTCTGCAATATGAAGGATATATATTTTAAAATATTTGCTTAATATTGTCACAATTGTAATTCATATACTTGATCTAAAATTGAGAAGTTCATATACTTGATGTGAAATTATGGCTATATATCTACAAAAAAAATCACTATTCATCAGCAATGTGCTATGACAAGAAACATATAAATAACAAAAAAAAATCCAAATTCAGTAAGTTTCACTTATGGAAAGATTGAAATAAATCTGAAATGTCCAAAAAATATTTAAATTTGACTAGTAGATCTAACTATGGTCTTTTGTTTCTTTGGGATGCTAAATCTAATAGGTATATGGTTCTTGCAAATAGCTCTGTTATGTCTAAACTGTCCACAACGACTACACCTAACAGTTCTCTTAAACTCACCAACTGATGGAATTTGTATCTTCTTAGGCCTACCGGCACCTCTTCTTATCTCTGGTGGCATCAGATTGTTTTTAAGCACTTCACTAGAAATTTCCTAATCACATTGATTGCCCAATGAATGAATTATTGCCCCACATGTGCAACCATATGAATACTTTGTATAGTACCTAGAAACAAAAGTATATGCATAAAGTCATTGCTTGCTAATCACTGCATAAACACGAGAACAAGGAATCTCTTCAAAATCCCACTTCCTGCAACTACAACTTCTAGTCTCCAAGTAAACAATAAAACTAGATTTGCCATGTACTACAGTGAATTCATTTACATCATTTGGTTGACCCTACTATAAAAATGCAATATAATATAACAATGATAAGTTTCAAAGTCGATATATCAATGATATTCAATAGTATATTAATGAAGATATGTTCAGTTGTAAAAACATTACCTCTATGTGTCTACCAAGCTTTATTTGCTCAGACAACTATTTTTCAGCCCATGGTGTTAAATGAGAAGATATAAAATTAGCATGCATCCTTTGTGTATAAAACCAATCCTAGAGCTTATTCCTAATAAACTCAATCAATGGTATAATTAGTAGGTCCCTTGCATTATCTAGAGTAGAGTTCATGCTTTCTGATATATTAGAAGTCATAATATCATACCGTCTCCTCATAGAATAACAATGTGACCCCTTTTCATAACCTACATCTAGAAGGTAATCACGAATGCCAGGTGCCACTTGATCTAATTTCTTCATCTCATGTTCAAAATCAAAAAACTTATATACCCTAGCACAATGATTGAAGATACCAGCAACTGAAGGGTGTTTGAACTTTGTTCTTATATTACCCAACAAATGTTGTACACAAATATAATGGGTAGCATCAGAAAATACATTAAACACAGCCTTTGGGATACTACTTTTCCTGTCTGAAACAAAGACTAGGTCTTGATGATAACATAATACACTCTTCAACTTATACAAAAACTATTCTCAAGAAGCATCATTTTCTAAGTCAACAATTGCAAATGCTAATGGAAAGATTGAATTGTTTCTATCCATAATACATGCAATTAAAAGAGTCCCCGTATATTTGTTCCTTAAAAAAGTTCCGTCAATGGATATAATTGGCCGACAATGGCTCCATCACTTAATAGAAGCAGCAAATTATACAAAGAAATACTTAAAACAACCATTACCACCATCTTCAATAGCAGTAACAGTACTTGTATCATATTATTAATAATCAGACAACAAAGTAGGATACAAAACATAATTATTGTCTAAATAACAAAATATATCTAATTCAGTTACTGTCTGAATATATCATTAATAAATGAATGTATATCAATGATAAATACGTAATAGGATTCGTGTGACTCAAAGCATAGCACAAGGAAGGTAATTGGGCATGAGAGTCCTTCGGACAAACTTAAATTGCTTCCAAAAAAAGTTCCTTTGCTCTCCATGACTTGTAATAACTAACACCAACTCCAAATTCCTTACGCATGTGCTTAATTATTAATTTCGGATCATTACATTCTCCATTAATGACTTTTTGCTTCACACATTCACTAATGATAAGGCTTGTTGCTTGCCTATGGTCACCATGCACGACGTCAACAATGCAAGTATGGTTCTTTACATACCGTCTAATGATCCAAACCTGAGTGGAAGCAATTGTTGAGGCCTATACATTCCACTTACAACCATCAACACTACAAGCAATAACAAGCCTTTCACCATTTGATTTAAGAGTTTTGTATTCAAAATTCCTCTTCATAGCTAATAGTTGCAGAACTTTTTGGACTTCTAATTTGCTAAAGAATGCATCTCTCTCCTTAATATCATCCATTTGCAAAAGTTCATCGGGTCCGCTACAATTCTTGTTGTTGGTAAATGTAGAAGACCATGAAGTTAAGGAATTATCTCCTTCATGGCAAGGTTCAAACACTTCTTGTATGGAAAAAGGTCCATTGGAAATAGAGACAATCAATGGGAAGTTAAAGAGATTATAATTTCTCAGTGAATTAAAATACCATATCAAATCATTATCATTCTTCACCTTTAAAATACTATATGTTGAAGTTCCAATATCGAAAGAGACCATCAATTTGACCTCATGACTTGCATTCAACCACAATTTCTTGTACACAATTTCCATGACATCAAGATAGGAAGTTGTATCTTCCATAAGCACCTCCAAGTATGAATCATCCACGTAACAGTTGTTCAAATTTTATTTTCCATCATAAGAAATTATGAGAGTAACCATCCTTATATCTACAAGATGACATAGTGTTAGTAAGTGATCACTGATATGATTTATTAATGAGATAGTATAGTATATCAATATATACTAACATTAATTAGAAACACGAAAACGCCATACTCCTTCACCCAAATCAAATCAAACTAGGTTCAAAAAAAATTACAAACGCCTTAGATGATCATAGAAAATTAAATACCCAAAATAAAAATAAAATATTATGAACAGTGAGAAAATAATATGTTTTGTGTTCGAAATTGAAGCAAATTGTATGATCAATGACAACAAAATAATAGATTAGGAACAGATGATTTATTGATTCAATGGATATATTACCTGGATATATGAAGATGATGAAAATTAGATTATGGATGATTCTCTTCAACCTCCAGATAAATGAATACAAGACAATTTCTATTCGATAATGCAGTTTTCTGTTCAATGTGATGATAATGTCTGGGAAAAACAGAGAAGATAAACAAAGAGAGGCAAGCACTGTATGATAAGAAACATTCGACGACCTCTGATGAAGATGATGAAAATAACTGTACAGATGGAGAAATAAAATCAAGGAAAATCAGATAAAAATAACATTAGTTATATTCTATTTTAATAAAAATAAATGAACGGATTTGAGGATAACGAAGTAAAAAAACATCTAATTTATTTTTGAATGGGCCATATTCCAAAATATTTAAAAACTTCTTCCATAATTTATGAAAGTTGTATTTTTTGAGGCCATTGAGCAAATTTTCTCTATTTTTAATCAAATCACGTAAACTAATGAAAGTTAGTTATCTCACTAAAAGTATAGAAACATTCTAATTTTACTTCTAATTATTGTAAATAAAAAATAATTTTTTTAAAGTAAATTAATACAAATACTTATCTTTTTTTGTTTCTAATTTAATAAGGATATAATAATTTATTTATTAAAAAATAAGTTAATAACTTTTTATATTTAATAATAATTTATATATATATATATATATATATAGAGGCAAAGGGAATAAGAAATAACACTTATCATAATAAATAAATAAAATATCCGGACAAAAACATGGCGCGAGTCAGATCAATACCGAAGGGAAAAAGAAAAAAAATTATAAAGAGACTTCCGTTGCCGGGAATCCAATCCGGGTCTCTCGGGTGAGAGCCGAGTATCCGAACCAACTAGACTACAACGGAATGTGATCGTAGGTGTCCGCAATCAATTATTGTCGTAAGATGCAGCGAACGAGAATTCTCCCTCAAGTCAATTTCATTTCACTCACTTGGAACTCAGGAACCCAGCTAATCGGAGATGAGGGAGGAAGAAATTGAGAAGCTTCGAGGTGTTGTGAGGGACTGGGTAAGCAAGCACCTCTACTCTTCTGCCATCTTCTTCGCAGACAAGGTTGCCGCCTTTGCCAATGATCCCGCCGATATCTGCATGCAGGCTCAGGCCCTCTTCCTCTGCCGCCATTACGGTCGCGCCTTTCATCTCCTCAATGCCTCTTAAGATAGTTCTCCGTGATCTCCGCTTCCAATACCTAGCTGTCAAGTGTCTAGTAAGTCCTTCTACTCTAAATGCTGGGATCAATTCAGTTGTATTTGTGTGAGTAGCCTTGTGAGTATCATCTTTTTCCTTGTGTTTCCTGTGGTCGAGATTTATTACGACTGCTTCTTTGTATTTTCAAATATTTTGAAGTGACGGACGGTGTGAACATTTTTGAACAGTTACTTGTCATAAACCGATGAAACAACGTTGGAACTAGCTACAGGGGAGCTTACTAGGCTATGAAGCTCGGGCAGGGGCATGGCGATACTTCAAACACAACCGGCACTGTATGATAGTTCCAAATTAAAACTTTCTGTTAACGTCACGCTTATGAATAAAAATACAACTGACATTATTCCTCGTTCTCATTATCTTAGACTAAGATTAGCTCTGGTTCTTATTTTAAAGACAATTTAGCAACCTCATGGGCATTAAGAAATTAAGTTAAAGGGTTAATCAGCAAATAAGACTTGAACTCTTACTCAATAATTGCCTAGACCCTGAACTCTTAAAATATACAAAATAAATTCTGAACTTTAAAATTCATAGCAAAATAAACCCAAGCCATTAACTTTTTTAACATCGTTACTGTCCACACGGGTATTATAATAGTCAGGGTTAAATTTATAGAAAAATAAACCCTGAACAGTAACTGCGTGGACGCTAATGGTGTTAAAAAGTTAACGGTTAGAGTTTGTTTTATTATAAATTTAAAAAGTTTAGGGTTTATTTTGCATATTTTAAGAGTTTAGGGTTCACGGTGATTTTTGAGCGTCCTATTTACTCATTAACCCTAAGTTAAAGTAAAAAAAAAAAAGAAAGAAATTAAGTTAAAGTTAGTTAATGTTGTTAAATTTATCCAAAATTTTAAGTTTCCAATCTAAGAAGCACCAATATGGGTATGTGTATCTTTTACGGTATAGTATGATGGGGTAGATACGGCAATTTTCAAAATTTTACGGGAATATTTGTAATATATATTTCAATATTTTATGATGATGGGCATGGGTATCTTATTTTTAAACACGTTTTTCTAAGGTAATAATATGAGGATGTTTGTAACAATCAACCAAAATAATAATTTTTTTTTTTTTTAAGTTTCTAATATAGAAAATTTTTATTTTAAAAAAAAATCATAATACAAATGTTAGAATATGCAATATGTATCATGAGGTATCATGCGTGCATAGTATAAACATCTACTTTTATTTTAAGTGTTTTATATTGGGCAGAATTGTAGGCCTTGAGTCTCTTGCAAATAAGTTTGCTGATCATGATAGCCTAATAACTAATAGTCATTTTTCATGATTGTTTGATGTTATAATGATTGTCTTGTGTTTTATTATATCAAAAGTTAATGCAATTTTGATCAGTTGGGACAGCTTGAGATTTCCTTATTTGGATAAATCCTCTTGGGAATTGGGATTAGTCAGTTGTAATAATTACTTCTTGATTGTTGAGTATTGAATTTTGAGAGTAGTTTCTTTGCTTATCCCTTTTGTTACCTTTTCGTCCTACATTAGACTACCTCCAATTTATTTCTTCATGAGATGGATTTCTGGTGCTCCATTTTGCCGGAAGAAATTTTCAGATAAATTAGGACCGAAATGTGTGGCATTTGGAAATTTTTTTGGGACATAGCTGAGTAGCTTTGCCAGTTAAGAAATTGATTACAGTCTATTTTATTTGTATATGATATATTACTCTTTACAAATCTTTCAAACTTTGATGCGACTGTAGCTATGTTTTGTAGTTGTAGTATTCTACATCTTTATTGCTTTTTAACATATATTACAAATTGCTTATACTATATTAACTTGCTTTCTTAAAGAGGAGGAGCTCAAGGAATGGGATCAATGCTTATTAATGCTGGGTGAGGCTAAAGTGGATGAACAAGGCAATGTTTCAGACACAAAGTATTCTAATGTCATGTACTTTGGATAAAGAAGGTGAAGATCGTGAGGTCAAAGTGACGTGCTACTTCTGGGTTACTTTTACCTTGTAAATTGTAATGTTTGTTTATAAGCTTTTGCCCTTATGCGTTGTCAAGGATCTTGAGACAATTCTAGTCAATGTTGGGAATTTAACTTTTTTTTTTTTTCTTAATCAAATAGCGAGAGAAACATAGTATCAAACTGGAAGCAATAAGCAACTGCAACTTTATAATTAGGTGACTACAGTGGCATAATATCAATGCTATATTCCTGTACTGCCAGTATCTGATGCTGATATTATAAGTGGAAAAAGATACCAAACGAAAATTAATATTCTAGCGCAAGAGGATTATTATTGAGCCTTCTTTCAAGAACTTAGCTGGGATACTTCTAAGACTTATGATTTGCCTTAAGGGAGGCCATGAATCCATCTGATGTTGAATCAGCAGGGTATAGGGGGAAAATAGTGAGAGAACAGGAGGGGGAAAGATAAAAAATGAGATCATGTCAATCCTCAAAACTGAAGGAAAAGTCTGACATGTTTTCTATTCCTTGTGGGTAGCATTCTTTTACTGATTCCATTTACTACTGTAAGTCTGACATGTTTTCTATTCCTTATGGGTAGCATTCTTCAAAACATTTAGGCCATGTTTGGTAGACTGGAATTGTAGAGATGGAAATGGAATTGGAAAAAGAATCTGAATAAAGTGATGTTTGGTAGACATGAATCATTATTCCCAAGAATCCCAATTCCATGAAAATAGGTTGAATTGGATTTTTTGTTTAAAGCTATGGAATCAAGGGCAATTCCATAGAATTGTGACTTTTAAGACACTTTTACTGATGTCCTGTTTTGGAAACCGTCAAACTTAATTACATGTTTATTTTCCCTCAAACATACATCGAGATACCTTACTGTTGAATATTTGGTTTGCTTTGGAAGTTTTGAACCAAAATGGCACTTACTAATGGGTTGTTAAGTTATTTGTGTGATATGTATGTTTAAGTTATAAGTTTTAAATTGCTATTATAGCCATGTTGTGGTAGCGTCTTCTAACTGTATGTATAGAAATTTGTATCTTTGCAAACTTTTGTGCTTTGCCTAATCTATTTCCATTTCTGACATCTTGGATAATTAGAAACATTGATTCGATATTGACGCAATGCATCTTTTTGGTATGACTAAATCAAAAAATAAACTTTTTTGCATTTTTTGTGCCCAAACATTTACCCAGAAAGGGATTAAGAACAATACTGTGTTCTTTCCTTAATTCTTCCCACTTACTGGTTAGAAATTCTGTATATTTTCTAATATTTGATATGGTAGCATAATATAGCTAAGATTAACTATTGACGATATCTTTATTCTGACTTTTTCTTAGTTTTGCTAGTTTGCTTAGTTCAAAGCATTTTTATGTGCTGTGACAACCAACTTCTGCAAAATGTTTCTTAAGAGGCAAAATGCATGAAGCTCTGGAAAACTGTGCCCAGACTCGATTGTGGTGAGTTCCTTTTGGGACTTATGATTAACTTACTATGCCTTTTCTTTTAACGTAAGAAGCAGATTTTTTTTTAATCTTAATTTTTCTTTTTTTGGCTTGCATTAACAATAGTTGAATTATGATGTGTTTGGATTTAATGAACAGAATTAACATGAAAAGTTCCCTTATTATGCTCTGTTTTGTTTGGTTGAAGGTACAAAGTTGCTATAAAAGCTGACCCTTTATGCTGAGGTATGTCTCAGTCTTTCCCTTGCTTTTCTATAGTTGATGAGAGTGTATGCTGTAAAAATTCATATTTCTGTAATCTGAAGTCTGAAGTGCTGGTAAATTAATAAATTCAATACTTTGTCCTTTCAGCAGAGGTCTGACTACTTGAATTTTTTCCTCTTCATGCAATTTTAAAAGCTTCATATTTACCATGTCTCCTTGCTCTCAAGTATCTTCACATATGCATCAGTGTCCTAATTTCTTCTGGCTGTTTGGTGATTATGTCAGGCTCTGGAATGTCTTATTGAAAATCTCATGCTCACATGTGAGGAGGGTAAAAGCTCTTAACTAATCTATCAGAATCTTCATTCATTGCAATTTCTGTTTAGAAATGTGTAACTTATCTAAGTACAAATTGATTCTTACACTTCTCCCATGTTTTCTCCTTCCTTTTCTCTGTGCTGAATATCAGAAGCAAATTTGATTTCACCATTGCAATATGGCAGTGAAGAGGGATGGCTTTCTTCATTCTATTCCTGCTTGATAAAGAAGGTAACATCTAGGCCATTTTTGATTCAATTATATTTGAATGTTTTGTATTGTATATTAATGAATGTGAAGGGGGAAAATTGTTTTATTTGCCTTTTTTGCATTACAATGCATTGTGTTGGTTGATTATGATGGTGACTGTGAGTGCATTATACTGATCAAGGATTTTCTCTTCTTTGTTACGCAGTATGAGAAGGAAAACGTTGTGGAAGCAAAGTTTCTAGAACTTGAGAACGCATGCTGTAAAATTGATCATTCTAATCCTTCTTTCTTGCCTACATTGAAAGGCAACACTGACCTATTATTAGCCTGCAAAGCTGAATACTAACATCAGTGTGGTGAATATCAGAAATGTTTTGAGTTAACATCTGCGTATGTTGGGGACCTGATTTGGAGACTGGAGACTGGAGTGCAATACAGCTGTGGTTGTTATCTTGATAGCTGCTGCTTCGTTTATCTTTCCGCTGACTCTCTTTGCTAACTGAGTTTCAGCACTCTTGCAGTCTACTTCAGAAAGATCCTTTCCATAATAAGACTACCCTTAGTACATCTGGCAGCTGCTATGGAGCTTGGACATTCAAATGAGATCTATCTGATGGCATGCAATCTGGTGAAGGTTAGCCTCAAAAGTAAGTTTTCTTGTACTACTCATTGATTTGTTGTCTTCTGTTTCATTTACTTCAAGGTCCAGTTACGATTTTTATCTTTCAGATTGCTTTTTAATTTACATGATCTCTACTGCATGTTGAGGGAGATATTTCATATTGAATTTCAATTCATTTTTGATAATTGTCAAAGACAACTAGATGGCTTAAGCATTTTGATAGAACCCGTAGATATTCAGCACAGATCGAATGTAAATGCAACAGTATCTCTATTACAGTAAAGAAAATGTAGAGAATAAAACCACGAATGCAAATGCCTACACTTTGATAACAAGGAAAGCTTAAGAAAGTAACCTCACTCTTCCTGGTATTCGAGAGACTAGGCCCTCTCCCCTAGGATGATTCTACTTGCCTACCTCCTCATGCCTTGCCTTCCACCTAAATAATGTTCCCCCCACTAACCTGACCATGTTAGAGTACTCTACAATTTAGTACCTTGGCCATTTTGCCCTCACGGACCCTCAGGGCCTGATTCATTGCTTTGGGCCTGTCTCCCTTTGTGTTTCCTTTCATAAACACGGCCCCAATGTGTAAAAAGCCCATCTTTTCCCCTGTCTGCAAGAATTTCCTTGTCCTTAAGGTTGAATTGGGGATACTAGGAGCGAATGGTGTCTTTTTCCTCCCAAGTGTTCTTACATTCTGGTAAATCCTTCCACTTGATCAAGAGTTGTAGCTTGCTTCCCTTGAATGCACATGTTGCCACAAGCTTCTCAGGCTACACTTTGAGTTCCAATTCTTCAGTCAATCCTTTAGGTAAGGGTTGAACATCCACTATAGCTTTAAGGGCCTGTTTAAGCTGAGAAACATAGAAAACATTGTGGATCTTGGCTGTATCTGGCAATGCCAGTCAGTACACAACCTTCCCTATTTTTTCAAGGATAGTGAATGGGCCATAGTTCCTCGGGGAAAGTTTTTCATTAGGTTTTCTTGTGAGAGATCTGTACTTGTAAGGTTTTAGTTTAAGGTATACAACATCCCCCACTTCAAATTGCAGCTCCCTATGATGTCGATTTGCCTGACCCTTCATGCGGTTCTGAGCCTTCTCAAGCTGGTGCTTGAGTTCTTCTAAGATGAGATTTCTCTCTTGAATTTGTTGATTCACATCCTGCGCCCTTGAGGGCTGATCTTTCCACTTTAGTAGTGTTGGTGGATCCCTCCCATATAGGGCCTTAAAAGGGGTCATCCCAATTGCGCTGTGATAAGTTGTGTTGTACCAAAATTCAGCCCAAGGTATCATTTTAGCCCATTTCTTAGGTGTGTTCCCTGTGAAACATCTCAGATAAGTCTCAAGGGTCCTGTTGATCACTTCTGTTTGGCCGTCCATTTCAGGGTGGTAGGATGAACTAAATTTCAAAGTTGTTCTTGCCATACTAAATAATTCTTTCCAAAAATGGCTAACAATGACTCAGTTCCTTGTCTGTTACGATGGAGATTGGAAATCCATGTAACTCGATTACCTCTCACAAATGCCTCTGCTACTTCCTTGGCACTATAAGGGTGAGAAAGACAAATGAAATGACTATATTTGGTTAATCTATCAACCATAACTAATACCATGTCGAAACTATTACTTTTGGGCATTCCTCCTATGAAGTCTATGCTTACATCCTCCCAAGACGCGTTGGGTATTGGTAAGGGTTGTAACAATCCGGTAGGGCTCAAAGCTTCATACTTATTCTTTTGACATATGTCACATTGGGCCACATATTCTTGAATGTCTTTTTTCATCCCCTCCCAGTAGGTCACAGCTGATAAGCGCTTGTAGGTTCTTGGGTATCTCGAATGCCCTCCCATAATGGAGTCATGGAATTCCTTAATCAATCCCTTGGTCTTCTCTGAATATCTTGGTAGCACTATTCGCCCCTCATGAAAAAGGACTCCATTTTTTAAGCTGTACCCACTTAGAACAACATCCCATATGATGATGTTCTACACTAACTTCTTGAGGTGTGTGTCTTTATCAATTTCAGATGCCAACTCGATTCACTCATACTGCCACATTGAAATAGCCTTCAATTCCACCTCAGAATCTCATCGAGATAAGGCATCAGCCCCTCTGTTCTCTTTTTCTAGCTTGTACTGTATTTGGAACTTGTACCCCATCAACTTGGTGACCCACTTTTGCTGATCGGGAGCAATGACTCATTGCTCTTGGAGATATTTGAGTGCCCTCTGATATGTTTTTATCAGAAATGGTTGGCTTGATAGGTAGTGCTGCCATTTCTTGACTGCTAGCATGATGGCCATGAGTTCTCTTTCATAGACTGAGCTTAGCTGGTGCCTCTTAGATAGCTTTTGACTAAAATAGACTATTGTTGACCTTTTTGCATCAGAATGGCACCTATCCCCTTGCTTGAGGCATCAACCTCAATTTCAAATGGATTGCTGAAATCAGGCATGGCTAAAACAGGCACCTTCATCATGGCCTCCTTTAATTCCTCAAAAGCCTTTTGCGCTTGGTTGCCCCATATGAACGAATCCCTCTTCAAAAGTTGGGTCAGAGGAGAAGTGATCTGGCTATATCCTTTGACAAACTTTCTATAATAATCGATGAGACCCAAGAATCCCCTAAGTGTCTTCAAATTGTAGGGTTGAGGCCATTAGAGCATCGCTAAAATTTTAGTGGGATCTACTTTGACTCCCTCGGCTAAAATAATGTTAGCCTAAGTATTAGAGCTGTGGTTGGCCGAACACATTTTTTTTTTTGGATTAACCACCAATTGATGCTTCCTAAGTACTTCCAAAGCTGTCTTTAAATGCTCTCTATGGGTTTCCCTGTCTTTGAGAATATCGTTAAAAAAAAACTAAAATGAATTTTCGCAAATATTCTCTGAATATGTTATTTATAAGAGACTGAAAAGTAGATGGTGCATTCATTAACCCAAAAGGCATAACCTTAAACTCGTAATGTCTATCGTGCGTTCGGAAAGCAATTTTTGGCTCATCTCCTTCTTTGATTCATATTTGGTGGTAGCCTGATTTTAAATCTAGCTTTGTAAATATCATAGCTTCCCCTAACTCATCTAGTAGCTTATCTATGGTTGGTATGGGATATTTGTTTGGAACAGTGATGTTGTTCAAGCTCCATAGTCTACACAGAACCTCTAGCTACCGTCTTTCTTCTTAACTAGTAGCACTGGACTTGAGTAAGGACTGGTACTCGGCTATATGACCCCCACTTGTATCATCTCCTTAACTAATCTCTCAATTTCTGCCTTTTGGAAGTACCCATAGCGGTTTGGACATAATTAGCTGGTTAAGCACCTTCCTTGATAGTTATTGCGTGATCTTGAGCCCTCCTCTGTGGGAGTCCGGTCATGACTATACATACCTTTGGGTATTCTTCTAGTATCGCGGCCAAATCGTCACCTGCTTCAAGTTTGACATCTCTCTCCTCTTGTTGTAACGCTGCTAGCATCATGAAGTACCCGACCCCCTCCTCTTTAATTGTTTTTCGAATTGCTTTCAGAGAGACTTGCGCTTGGGTGAGGGACGGGTCACCTCGAAGGCAGATCCACTTCCTGTCCATCTTTATCTTCATGTACAACTGTCGCCAATTCATGCATGTCTCACCTAGAGATTCTAGCCCCTCTACTCCCAATATCAAGTTGACATTTCCAAGACTGAATGGGTAAAAGGGCTGTTTGATTTTAAACCTTGTATTTCAAGCTTTACACCTGGGCACTTTCAATCTGAATGAATAAATCTTCATCACCCATTGTGACTGAATACCTTTTGACTTTCTGTGTGGTTATTCCTAATTTTGACACAAGTTCAGAGGCAATAAAGTTGTGGGTTGCCCCACAATCAATTAGGACTAAAATCTTTTGCCCATAAGTTGTCCCTTTCATTTTAAGGGTTCTTTTTCCAGTCAGCCCATTAGCAATGGCTATGGATAATTCTATCGTGGCACTCTCTCCCTCTTCTTGGGCTTGGTCTTGCATGGGCCTCTCTTTTTCCTTGTTCTGGTCCTCTTCCTCCTCATCAATTATTATGAGCCTGATCTGCTTGTTTTTACACTTGTAGTTTGGGCCAAACTTTTCTTCACATCTAAAACATAGGCCTAGCTCCCTGCGTCTGTTGATCTTAGCCTCTGAAAGTCTCCTACGTGGTACATTGCTTCCAGTGCTAGCAATGAAGTGGTGCCCGCATTCACTGTCTTGGAAGGGGTAGACTTTGTTTCTTCTTTAGCCCTTTCCCTATGTTCCTTTGTTCTTGAGGGCACACTAGAGCTCTTGAAATTCTCGATTGCACTAAAATTAGGGATCAAAGGTTTGTAATCACTCCATCAGCCACTCACAGTGGTCTTCGCCGCTCTACTCCTTTTCTCCTCCATAGCCTTCTCCTTTGCTCTGTTGCGATCTTCTACTTGGCCTACATAATCCATCAACGCCTTTAGATTTTCAGGATGTATCAAGCAGACATCCGCTCTTATTTCCTTAGTCAACCCGTTTAAGAAAGCCCCTATTAACATTTTGTCGGACACCTCCCTTAAGGGAGCCAAGAAGAGCTCAAATTTTTCCTTGAATTCCTGTATGGTAGTCTCTTGTTTTAGTGCCAAGAGATGTTCATGCTCACTGCCAAGTTGCTTACAATGAAATCGGTTCATTACTTCTTGCTTAAAGTCAGGCCACGTTCTTATTGGTGTTCTTGTTTCTAACCATTGGAACCATGCCAAGGCCTTCCCTTCTAAACTGACGATTGCCACGTCTAACTTCTCATTCTCCCCTACTCCATTATAGTGAAATATCGTTCTACTCTGAAGATCCACCCTAACGAGTCTTCCCCTTCAAACAATGGTAGTTCCAGTTGTCAGTATTTAAACCCATCACTTTGTCCCAATCCTTCATTGCCTCTGTTGTTCATCTCCCTTCTAGTTCCTTCTTCCAGTATGGGTGTCTCATTTTCTAAAGTATGGTTGTCCTTCCCTTCGGCTGGCGGGGGCGAAGGTGGTGGTGGGCGTGGAGCATTTGCTACCTCGAAAGCGGACCGAAAATTAGCAAGTTGATGTAGAACCTACGCCATCGAGTTTTCCATGCCGGTAAGCTTCTCAGTCGTCTCACCTTTCGCCTTTGAACCTCCTCAACTATTTGCTCTAATTGTTCTACTCTTCCCTCCATTCTTGTATTGACCATTCCCTGGAATATCATTGCTCTGATACCAAGATGATAGAACCCAGAGATATTCAGCACAGATCGAATGTAAATGCAACAGTATCCTCTATTACAGCAAGGAAAATGTAGAGGGTGCAATCACAAATGCCAAATGCCTACACTTCAATAACAAGGAAAGCTTAAGAAAGTAACCTCACTCCTCCTAGTATTCGAGAGGCCAGGCCCTCTCCCCAAGGATGATTCTACTTGCCTACCTCTTAATGCTTTGCCTTCCACCTAAATAATGTTCCCCCCTACTAACCAGACCATGTTAGAGTACTCTACTGTTTAGTACCCTGATTGTTTTGCCCTCACAAGCCCTCAGGGCTTAACCCACTGCTTTAGGCTTGTCTCCCTTTGTGTTTCCTTTCATAAAGAAAGCCCTAATGTGCAGAAAGCCCATCACATTTTAACAAAAAATGTGATCTAATTGTAGAAGATATCTTTGCTAGATGACCCTTGGGACCCAAACATGATATCTAAATCCTTGATAGGCTTGAATATTTGTTTGAATTGTTTACTGTGTTGTGATGGTTAGTTGATGTTATTTTAGGGCTTTATCTTGGCTTGCGGTTGGCTGCTATTATTATTTGTAATGAGCACAAGTCTAAGCGGAGAGCTTATCCCAAAAGATTAGATTGTTAGGTGGGAGAGCCTCTCACATTTATAAACCTCACACCACTTATGAGGCTCTCCAATATTGGGCTCATGATAATGTCACCCCCTCAAGAGTTGACATCCATGGCAGCTCTACTCTACGGCACTTCACTCAATCTCCTACCAATTAGAACCCTCTATAGGTAGCTTTTTTTGTGACATTGGTATCTCAATAAAAGCACCAATGTAATGAGTACAAGCCCAAAGGGAGAGTCTATCCTAAAAGATTAGCCTATTGGGTGGGAGAGCCCCTCACACTTGTGAGGCTCCTCGATGTAGGGCTTGTGAAGATACCACCCTATCGAGAGCCTACGTTTCCAACGGCTCCATTCCACAACACTTCACTCGGTCTTTTACCAATAAGAAAACTTTGTGAATAGCTCTTTCAATAAGACTGGCCTCTCAATGAAAGTATTAATGTAACGAGTATAAATTTAAAGGGAGAGTTTATTTCAAAAAACTAGCCTGTTAGGTGGGAGAGTCACTTACACTTTTAAATCTCACACTATTTGTGAGACTTTTTGATGTGGAACTCATGACACTATTGTATTTGTATCATGAAGTATGACCAGTCCCGTCGATATTTCAGGTACACATAGCTTGTTGTCACGTTAGATCTGGCCCATCCTGAAACATCTAAAGCTAGCATTTTGGTATCTCTTATTATTTTTGGCTTTTGAATTATTTTAATAGGAAGAATAATTGACTTCTTTTCTAACTAAAAATATGATCGTTGGAATATAGTTACTTTGAGTATTTCCCTGAAATTCAATGCAATTATCGTTTTGCTTGATAATTTGTCAAATGCTATGCCTTGGTAGATGCTTAATTTCTATGCTGTTGTATCCCTGCTGTGAAATATGATATGCTAGATTATACGTTATTATTAACCCGTGTACATAAATGCATCTATAATACCTTATTATTAACCCGTGTACATAAATGCATCTATAATAGGTCTTTCACTTAAAAACTTGGAGTCTTGGATCAATTATATATCTCTGAGCATGACTTTTTTTTTTTATTGTACAATTAATTTTCTTCGAATATCCAATTGCTTGACATTATTAATAAACTTGTTGTTCATTTCCATCCTCTACCATTTAGCAAGGCAACAAGTCTAGATGGAACATTTGCACCATAGCCTATCAGAAGAGGTTGATCATGCTTATGCACATCAAGTTTTGCATTAGAATATTTTGATTCAGATATGGTTGAGTTGTTTCTTCCGCCCATATCTGCAAAACTAATTTCAATTTTCAGGTATGTTAGAGTAGGTGTAAACACCCAATATTTCTCGGTGTGAGCATGAATTGTATCATAGTGTAAATGTTGCTATAGTATTGTGGGCGTGCACGCGCGCGCTCTTTTTTATATAAATATCGTACAGATTTTTGACTCTGTAGTACCATAGCTCTGTAGGTCAGTGCTGTCATTGTCCTGCTTCCTCAAATTCTATTTTCTTTCGTCCCTTGCTCAATGAGGTGTTACATATAGTTGTTAAGTGAAAAACTGAAGACTTGTTTGTTGCTCTTCCTGGGGTAATTACAAAGGAAATGAAAATTAATGTGCCAAAAACCACTAATCACTACAGAAATGACACATAAAATTGCAAATTTATACCCTATAAAAATTAATATCAATTAAGTCTGTGGGTCAAAATCATATTTTAGCTTTTTATGTTAGTGAAAAATAACATTTGTATCTTATAATTTATACATAATTTAGGGAATTTAATTAATATTAATTTTCTTATATAATATTATGTATGATTTTATCGGTTCTTTTGTGTAATTTTTGAAGTCTTTTCTTGCAATTTAAAGTCAAATAATGATTAAATTTAATTTTTTAGGTTGAAATGCATCAAAACCATGAATTTTGAAGAAATTGCATATGATGCCCTTATGTTTAAATGTTTACAGTTTACTCCTACTAATATTTAATTTTGTTTTTCAAAACTCCTTATTATCAATCATCTGTTATGTTATTAATAGAGTTTGCCTTGTCACATTAAGAAAAGTTACATAGAAGCTTATAAGCAAACAATAAATATAAAAATTATATTATTTTTAAATGCTTACTTTTGTATTAGTTTAAAATATTTACTTTTGTATTAGTTTAATTCATTTTTTTAATTATTAATGGTGCATATTTTTTTGGATTAAAGAGTAAGTTTTTTTTTATAATTCTTATCAACAGCTTTTAGATATTTTTTTTCATTTATTTAATGTAAAATATTTTTTAATTGATAAAGAATGATAAAATTATAATTTTTTGAAATATGTTAATAGTTAATAATGAAAACAAAGTCTTTTAACTAACAAAATAAGAGTATTATTATGTGTGTTAAAAATAAAAATTATAATTTTTCCCTTCCTTAAATTGTATTAAAAAATTAATAAAAATATTTCTTTCATGTTATATGCCATATATATTTCATTAATATGATATGAAAAACTCTATTAATAACATAATAGAGTTAATTAACTATATGGGACTTTGAAAAATAAAATTAAATGTTAGGAAATTTAATTTTAAACATTTAAAGGTAAAGAATTATATGCAACTGTCTTATAATTTAAGAGAGTTTTATGTATTTTAACTTATGTTTAATAATATTTTTGACTGTTCTTTTTGGGGGGTGCAGCTCATTAGGACAGCATGGTTTTATATATAGAAGGATTGAAGGGAATACAAACGTGTCTAATGCAAAATAATTTTATTAAATTGTAAAAAATATTTTACTTCCCTTTAGGCCTATAATCCTATCTCGTGGCCTGGTTTAGTAGGTCTTTAAATTGAATTTTAGTAATTGCTTAAATAAGCTTTTTTCTTTTAGGTTGAATGTTTAAATAAGTTTTTAGGTCAGACTTTAAAAAGGCCTTAACCTGAGCAAAACAAATAAAAGTCTTGCATGGATGAACTAATCCAATCTTCTATGTGCTCATACATGACGGGATTATTCTGTGTTCATAAGTTGAACTAGATAGGGTTACGATGCCAATAACTGGATTTAATGCAATATTCTACCTCTAATTGTATTTATAAGATGAAAAGAGAAAATATTTTTTTATTCTATTTATAAATTATATCATTAAATTTTTATAAAAAAAATTTTCCTTTACCCCCATTAAATATTGATAAAAAAAATATTATTAAAATTTATATATATTTAATAAAAACAAAGTTGATTTGGAGTTTAGGATTTAAGGTTTACTTTAGACTGAATTAATAAATTAATGAACATATGTTGGAACCTAAGAGTAACTTATAAATAAATAAAAAAAATTCAAAATTACTTCATGTTGGAAACAAGTTTAGTTTGCTTTGGTAAGTTTATTTGGAAATGAAATGATCAATTTTTTTTTTTTGGGTAGAAAATGGGACTAAGCTCAAACAAAATTAGGAGTATCTCGAAATATCAATGAGATAATTTCCCTAAGAGATAACTCCAACAACATGCGGTTATCATATTATTTTATTTATTTATTGAATTGAATAACAAAAGGCGTCAAAAGCTAGGATTAAAGGTCTATTTATCAATTATTCACTTAAAAATACTTGATATTTTAAACTTTTATATAGTATAATTTTTTCTTTAACTTTTAAAAATGATACATTAAGCACCATGCCATTAAAAAAAAAGATTAAAATGCATAAAACTCTTTAAATTTTGAGACAATTGTATATGATCTTATCACCTTTGAATGTTTAAAATTAATTTCCTAACATTTTGTCTTGTTTTTTGAAACTCCATATAGTTAATTAATTCTATTATATTATTAATAGATTTTTTTTCATATTAGATTAATGAAATACATGAAAAAATATTTTTATTAATTTTTTCACACAATTCAAGGAGGGCAAAATTATAATATTTACTTTTAATACACAAGAAGATGCTGTCATTTTTCTTGCTTGAGGGACTTTGCTCTCATTATTCATGGTTCACACAATTTAAGAGAAAAATTATAATTTTATTATTCTTTATTAATTAAAAAAAATTTTATATTAAACAAATGAAAAAAATCTAAAAGTTTTCATTGATAAGAATTATATAAATAAAAATTTATTCTTTACTAAAAAACTATGCTAATAACCAAGAAAATGGATAAAACTAATACAAAAGTAAATATTTAAAAATAATAATTTTTTATATTTATTATTTCCTTACATAAAATGCCATGTAAGCATCTATGTGACTTTTATTAATTTGACATGATAAACTCTATTAATAACATGATAGAGGAATTAATAGTAGGGGACTTTGTAAAACAAAAATAATTAAAGGTTAAGGGGATTGATTCTAATTGTTTAAAGGCAAGGGGATCATATGCAACTTCTTTAAAGCTCAAGAGGGTTTTAGGAATTTTAGCCAATAAAAATTTATTCTTTAATATAAAAAACTATGCACCATTAATAATAAAAAAATGGATAAAACTAATAAAAAGTAAATATTTAAAAAATAATAAAATTTTTATATTTATTATTTGCTTGCCTAAAATGCCATGTAATCTTCTATGTGGTATGGAAAACTCTATTAAGAACAATATGTTTATGAAACCAAATGTGCATCATCCAAAAGGAAAAAACAATGGTTGATGTTGGTGAAGTAGAGGATCAAGGTGCGCAAGAAAAAACTGAGTCTTAAAAATAGATAAAGGACTCATGTATTCTTGAGAAGTTAAAAAAAAAAAAAAAAGGAGGTAGGCATAAACACACAATCAACAATTAATCAACTGTTTAAAAAGGATTTGAAGGAAGAAGCTTGTCAACAAAGTAGCTCAATTTTTTTTTATATAAGCATTATTCCTTTCAATATGTAAAAAATTCCAATTTCACGAAGATATTTGAAATTATAGCAACTTAGGAAGAGATATAGTCAAGGATTTAAACCTCTTTATCACAATATCAGAGAGAAATACTTAAATCTAGAGGTGAAAAATACACGGATTGATAAAAAGATATGCTTAATAATAGTCAAAATATTACAGGGTAGATTTGGCTTTCGATTTCAAGGCCACGTGGGAGCAAGGGAGAGTTCATCATCGAATAGTCAATTGAGGAGGGAAAAGAAATTTGAATGGGCTGCAAGTTGATGAAGGCCCAAAGGTGAGTAGATCAAAGAGGAGCTGAGCTACAAGACCAAAAATTTTATCGCTTGCCATACGAAAATTGTCCTTCACGGGCTCACCAAAACGTTGTGATTGGAATTTGGAAGTCTAACTCAGATGGGACTTTTGGATTTGGGTCAAAGTGAAATTAATGAAGTTAATAATCACATTGGTTAATACCTAAGATCTGTAATTCCTAACCAAGTGTTCGACAATGATTTAAAAACTTGATCGAACGTAGAAGTTAATACCGGAAGTGTCAAGCAATTTAAGAATAAGAAACTTAGATAACAATATCAGTAGAGAGTCTAATACCCCAAGATATTTTAGTTCAAACAAAAGCTTAATACTTATAGAGACTTATTACTTCACAAAGAGATGACACATAGAAAAGCCTCAAGAGAATATAGGTATTGCCAAAAATAGTACCCATAGTGACAACAAAGAATCAAAGGTTTAACCTGGCAAGCATTCATATCAGTACCGGTAATACCATTAGAATACCAGTAGTGGCACTTAGGAAAAAAAAGAAATCAGAGATTAAAGCATATCAACATGTTTATGCCTCAAATGCCCTTTCTATGTAGCTGTTAAACAAAATCTTCTCTAATATGTTATCATCAAAATTAAAATCCAACATTATAGATATAAATATAGATTATAGATATAGATAGATAGATAAATATTTTCTAAAAATTTTGTAAAAAATATCACATAAAAATTTAAAAGAAGAAAGAAACTGTGAGATGCGGGGTACTGTAGATCAACAATAACCCATCCGACAATAATTACGCTATAGTATAGATATGGATTTTTGTCATTTTGTTTTAGATTTTTATTTCAATTCAGACCTATCATCTTGCAATGAAATTTCAGATTATATTGGGCTTGATTTAAAAATATGTCACATATATATGATCTTTAAATGAAATTCTCTCATTATATTTCTAGTAGGTATTCGGCGCATATTGCTTTTCAATGTCTTGAGTTTGAATTTTGTATGTGAAAAAGAAGAAATTAAACCCTACTAGTATCGGAGAGCTTAACACCAATGTGATGCGTGAACTGTCTCAACCAAGATTAGCAGTGCTTAAATATAACATTTAGAAATCAATCAATACCCAAGAAAAATTGAGGTTAGGAAAAAAAAAAAAACAGAAGAACCCAAAATGAAGAAAGGAAAAGAAAAATTCATATACCCATCTCTAACATACAGGAGACTAGTCCGTCCACTGCTTTGTATCCTTCTAAACTAGTCCGACGAGATTAACCCAAAATGACATACGT